GGAGACACGACGTCTCAAAAGCTATGGGATGCAGCAAAAGCAGTTCTAAGAGGGAAGTTGATAGCAATACAAGCCCACCTTAAGAAACAGGAAACATCTCGAATAAACAACCTAACCTTGCACCTAAAGCAATTAGAGAAAGTAGAACCAAAAACCCCCAAAGTTAGCAGAAGGAAAGAAATCATAAAAATCAGATCAGAAATAAATGAAAAAGAAGTGAAGGAAATGATAGCAAAGATCAGTAAAACTAAAAGCTGGTTCTTTGAGAAGATAAACAAAATAGATAAACCATTAGCCAGACTCATCAAGAAAAAAAGGGAGAAGACTCAAATCAATAGAATTAGAAATGAAAAAGGAGAAGTAACAACTGACACTGCAGAAATACAAAAGATCATGAGAGATTACTACAAGCAACTCTCTATGCCAATAAAATGGACAACCTGGAAGAAATGGACAAGTTCTTAGAAATGCACAACCTGACAAGACTGAATCAGGAAGAAATAGAAAATATGAACAGACCAATCACAAGCACTGAAATTGAAACTGTGATTAAAACCTTCCAACAAACAAAAGCCCAGGACCAGATGGCTTCACAGGCGAATTCTACCAAACATTTAGAGAAGAGCTAACACCTATCCTTCTCAGACTCTTCCAAAATATAGCAGAGGGAGGAATACTCCCAAATTCATTCTACGAGGCCACCATCACCTTGATACTAAAACCAGACAAGGATGTCACAAAGAAAGAAAACTACAGGCCAGTATCACTGATGAACATAGATGCAGAGTCCTCAACAAAATACTAGCAAACAGAATCCAACAGCACGTTAAAAGTATACACCACGATCAAGTGGCGTTTATTCCAGGAATGCAAGGATTCTTCAATATACACAAAGCAATCAATGTGATAAACCATATTAACAAATTGAAGGAGAAAAACCATATGATCATCTCAATAGATGCAGAGAAAGCTTTTGACAAAATTCAACACCCATTTATGATAAAAACCCTACAGAAAGTAGGCATAGAGGGAACTTTCCTCAACATAATAAAGGCCACATATGACAAGCCCACAGCCAACATCATCCTCAATGGTGAAAAACTGAAACTATCTCCACTAAGATCAGGAGCAACCCAAGGTTGTCCACTCTCACCACTCATTCAACATAGTTTTGGAAGTTTTAGCCACAGCAATCAGAGAAGAAAAGGAAATAAAAGGAATCCAGATTGGAAAAGAAGTAAAGCTGTCACTGTTTCCAGATGACATGATACTATACATAGAGAATCCTAAAGATGCTACCAGAAAATTACTAGAGCTAATCAATGAATTTGGTGAAGTAGCAGGATACAAAATTAATGCACAGAAATCTCTGGCATTCTTATACACTAATGATGAAAAATCTGAAAGTGAAATCAAGAAAACACTCCCATTTACCACTGCAACAAAAAGAATAAAATATCTAGGAATAAACCTACCTAAGGAGACAACAGACCTGTATGCAGAAAATTATAAGGCACTGATGAAAGAAAGTAAAGATGATACAAATCGATGGAGAGATATACCATGTTCTTGGATTGGAAGAATCAACATTGTGAAAATGACTCTACTACCCAAAGCAATCTACAGATTCAATGTAATCCCTATCAAACTACCACTGGCGTTTTTCACAGAACTAGAACAAAAAATTTCACAATTTGTATGGAAACACAAAAGACCCCGAATAGCCAAAGTAATCTTGAGAACGAAAAACAAAGCTGGAGGAATCAGGCTCCCTGACTTCAGACTATACTACAAAGCTACAGTAATCAAGACAGTATGGTACTGGCACAAAAACAGAAAGATAGATCAATGGAACAGGATAGAAAGCCCAGAGATAAACCCACGTACATATGGTCACCTTATCTTTGATAAAGGAGGCAGGAATGTACAGTGGAGAAAGGACAGCCTCTTCAATAAGTGGTGCTGCGAAAACTGGACAGCTACATGTAAAAGTATGAGATTAGATCACTCCCTAACACCATACACAAAAATAAGCTCAAAATGGATTAAAGACGTAAATGTAAGGCCACTTTCAAACTGTTAGAGGAAAACATAGGCAGAACACTCTATGACATAAATCACAGCAAGATCCTTTTTGACCCATCTAGAGAAATGGAAATAAAAACAAAAATAAACAAATGGGACCTAATGAAACTTCAAAGCTTTTGCACAGCAAAGGAAACCATAAACAAGACCAAAAGACAACCCTCAGAATGGGAGAAAATATTTGTAAATGAAGCAACTGACAAAGGATTAATTTCCAAAATTTACAAGCAGCTCAATAACAAAAAAACAAACAACCCAATCCAAAAATGGGCAGTAGACCTCAATAGACATTTCTCCAAAGAAGATATACAGACTGCCAACAAACACATGAAAGAATGCTCAACATCATTAATCATTAGAGAAATGCAAATCAAAACTACAATGAGATATCATCTCACACCAGTCAGAATGGCCATCATCAAAAAATCTAGAAACAATAAATGCTGGAGAGGGTGTGGAGAAAAGGGAACACTCTTGCACTGCTGGTGGGAATGTGAACTGGTTCAGCCACTATGGAGAACAGTATGGAGGTTCCTTAAAAAACTACAAATAGAACTATCATATGACCCAGCAATCCCACTACTGGGCATATACCCTGAGAAAACCATAATTCAAAAAGAGTCATGTACCAAAATGTTCACTGCAGCTGTATTTACAATAGCCCGGAGATGGAAACAACCTAAGTGCCCATCATCAGATGAATGGATAAAGAAGATGTGGCACATATATACAATGGAATATTACTCAGCCATAAAAAGAAACGAAATTGAGCTATTTGTAATGAGGTGGATAGACCTAGAGTCTGTCATACAGAGTGAAGTAAGTCAGAAAGGGAAAGACAAATACTGTATGCTAACACATATATATGGAATTTAAGAAAAAAAATGTCATGAAGAACCTAGGGGTAAGACAGGAATAAAGACACAGACCTACTGGAGAACAGACTTGAGGATATGGGGAGGGGGAAGGGTGAGCTGTGACAAAGCGAGAGGCATGGACATATATACACTACCAAACGTAAGGTAGATAGCTAGTAGGAAGCAGCTGCATAGCACAGGGATATCAGCTCGGTGCTTTGTGACCTGTGACCGCCTGGAGGGGTGGGATAGGGAGGGTGGGAGGGAGGGAGACGCAAGAGGGAAGAGATATGGGAACATATGTATATGTGTAACTGATTCACTTTGTTATAAAGCAGAAACTAACACACCATTGTAAAGCAATTATACCCCAATAAAGATGTTAAAAATACATATATGAGTGAAAAAAATTTGAAAGTAAAGGTCAGAAAAATATATACAACAACTTACTACAAGAAATCTGATGTAGCTGTACTAGTATCAGACAAAGTAAACTTTTAGGCAAATGCATTCCTTAGAGACATTTTATTATTATATAAGAATTAATCTACCAGAAAAGTATGGCAATTCTAGATTTGTATGTGTCTCATAACATACTCCCCAAATATACAATGACAGCATAAAATGAAGCCATTGCCAAATTCAAAAGCATTGTAGTAAAGTTTAATCCGCCTTTCTCAGTTACTGAAAAGCCAAGTTTACGAATTATATTAATCAACTTTTCTATAGACTTGCCAGTCTGTTTTCTACTTTTTCCATCCTTAATTTGAGTTCAAAATATTTAAGTATGGCATTTTTTTCTTCTTTTATAATTTTGTATAGTTGATCTAATATGAACTAGGAAAAGTAAATCAAAGCCCACTAATACCAATCTAATTTTTTCTATTTTTCCTTATATTTATTGTAGTTTCTTTTATTTATGATAAAAAAAATCTGGTATACAAATATAAGTGTTACATCTGCATTAAATAAGTATTACTTAGAAATTATGTTTGATTTTGAGTAACAGATACATCTTTCCTAATGTTAGTCTAAGACTGCTGAAAGTTTTATTCTCTCACATAAAAATATCTGGAGGTAGGGGGTGTCAGGACTAGTAAAAAGGGCTCTTTAAATTCATTAATGGCTGGTCCAATTAAAAGAAAACTACTGGACCTGTGTGCAGAAATCACACAACAAAGAGAGCAAAAACATTGTGAAAAAGAAAACTATAAATCAACTACACTCCAATAAAAATTTTAAAAAAATAACATGTATTACATCAAGCATGACTTAAAGGCTAAAAGTTAAAAACAAAATTGTCTATAATTTCAAAAAATGTACAGGCAGTGCAATCTTGTTTTAAAAAAAGACTTAATAAAGATGTAAAAAAAAAGACTTAAAGCAGGAGATGGAAAATAAGCAGTCAGTAAAAAGAAATATGACACATAAAAAAATTAGAAATAAATGAAAATGTTTCAGAGGAAAATGTTACATTTGATGCCACCAAAACTAGAGTAAACATTATTTGAACCCACAGTCAGGGACATGGAAATCAAGCTTCAAAAAGATCACACAAAATGAAATCTCAAAGAAATAATATATAAAATTTTTATAAAATATGATAGATATGTAGAGATGAAAGAAAAGGGGAACAGATAAGATAAAAATAGTATTCAAAAATTTAGTAGAAGTGGTTTTGAAATAAAAGTCTTGACTCTGATGATCAAATTAGGTTGACTGTTTCCTCAGAAAATTTCCTCGTGAAGCTTTGATATTCAAAGATTAAGAAAAAAAGTATCCTAAGGGAATCTTAGAAAAAACAGTCAACATGCAAAAGGGAGAATAATTATGCTACTCTGAGATTTCTCTACAGGATATTACTTACCAAGGTAATTAGAAGAATTCAATGAAATAATGTAATTATACCAGTCCTTGGATTGGCATCAGGGCATTCATATACTTACTGAAACTGTATTCAAAATATTGTTTGTGTACACATAGGTAAGTTTTTCTAGGATGAGAACAAATGGCTCTTTACCTGATTGACAAAGAGATGGCAAATAAATTAAAACTCACAGCTGTAGGGCATGTCTCCCAGTGGAGGACTTCATTTTTCTAGTAGTCCATGGAAAGAGTATTGTGTGTCCATGAGTTTATCGCAAGGTTTTTTTCATGTGTGAGTTTCCATTCAAACTATATCTGAAATTAAAATAAATAGCATATTCTGTATAATGCAGTTGATCATCCTATAATTGAACGTTAATTTATTTCAATGCACATATTTGCATTTTGCTTAGGTGACCACTTTTGCCCAAAAGGATCATGAAGTGACAGCATTTAAGTTCTAATATGCTAGGAAGCACATTCTTTACTCTTGTTCACCTTTCATAATGCCACAAATGACAACTTTCTAACACCTACCTTTGTGTAAATATTGATTTCCTTAAACAATTATGAGGAGAAAAAATCCTAGACTCTTGCTTTAAAATAGCATTAGTCTACGAAAGTATTCAGTTTTGACTTAAGCTGCATATTTACATATTTACATCTGACGTCCTGAAAACAACTCTGTGCTTTGGAGCAATGTTCTATTTTAATTGTTTTGGGCTCATGGAAAAAGACAGAGGCAGAATTAATATGTGAATGGCCCATTCACATGATGAAAGGACTAAATGGTATTCTAAGAAACTGTAAAATAAAAGGCTTCAAAATTGTTTAAACAAAGAAAACAGCCATCTTATGGCATACTATATTTGCATATATCAGTTGTGAGCACTAGTTTGGCTTCAACAAAAAATTATCTGTTACATAAAATTAATGTTTATTTAAATTTTATTGGTTGTATAATGTGATGAATTCAATTTTTAATTTAGGTTTTATAATTGTATAAGGGATAATAGTATAAGGAGTTCATTCTTAGGTTTACATGATACATATTTATAGGCCATTATAATAAAAAAGAGTTTCTGTCATTACTGTGGGTCAGCAAAAAATTTCTTTTCATTTTATAAGTGTAAAAAATTGCCCATGCAGAGCATAATTCACCCACACTGCTCACTGTCTCCATCTCAGTATGGCTTTGCTGTAGGCAAGCTGCCTTCATTCTCTAATTATGGTGACTCCACTCATCTGTCTCAAACCATGTGAGATGGAGAGTTATGCTTCAGCAAAATGAACTACAACATGCTCCAGCCAATCAGGGTCATTCCCGAATAGTACCATTATTGATTTGTTGGTCAAAACTCAAAACAAACGAATCCCCTAATTCCATACTTACTGAGTAGAAAATTAACAAATGCATGAAAAGTTACAATCTTCCATGTTTTGTTTTACCCTGCATTCTCTAAAAAACAGAGCATGAGGGCATGAAGTTGACATGCTTGTTTTTGAGGTAGGGTGCACTCTTAGTGAATGAAGAATGAGGGAAAAGGGAATTCCAGTCAAGGAAGGAGCAAAAAGTAATACAAGATGATGTATTACCAAGATGTTCATAGCTGTACAGGAAAACTGGCTGATGATTGGTCGTGTAGGATATCTTCAGAAAGGATGTGTGGAACCCCTGCTTTCCTGAACCATTTGGTTTTGTTGGAAAGAGAGGAAGGGCAAGCAATTTATCTGCCACTTCCTTTCTATCTCCTGTCTCATTAGTCAAAGTTCACCCCACGGGGCATTAACACCCCCACCTGACCCCACTAGACAGTCACTGGAGAAGGCAGCGTCTCTGTGTGTCCGGGTGATCAGACCTGAGTCTTAAAACCACTGTGGCTCTTTCTAGGGTAAACATGATGGTGGCTCAGTCTTTGCCCTCAAAGGCAGGGGAGATGATATATGGTGTCATGAGACAAGGAGCCTGTGCTAGAAAAGAACCCATACCTCCAATATCTGGGTACCGTAGAATCCAGGGCTCAGAGGAAGAAAGAAGCTACTTTTAAAATGGGAGGAAAAAAAGAGAAAAAGATGGGGAAGGAAGAGCTAAATGGAGCTGAGTGCCAATTTACCCATTTATAATAAGAAATGTAAATGACACTCTAGTACATTGATCAGGTAATATCTCTATCCATGGAAACATCCGCTTTAGCATCTCTGACTTTCCTTTCTCTGACTTACCAGTCCCCGCCACTTGGTCTTGAGACAAGCCCAAATAGGTTAAATGATGTTATGCCAGTTATGAGGCTAGATCTCAAGAGAACTTGCATGCATTGCCTTGACCTTTTGGAACATTGCCCAGAAGCCTGCTGCAGTATGAGAGACCACATGGAGGAGAGGTATACTGCCTAATAGGAGGTCATCTGAGAAAAGCCAGCCCATAGCCAACACAGTAGCTGACCACAAATGCATGAATGACCCTGGCAGAGACCAGAAGAACTGCTCTGATGAGCATAAGCTAAACTGTCAACCCCCAGAATTATTTGTTCAGTAAATAGTTGCTGCTTTAAACCGCCAAGCTTTAGGGTAGTTTGTTACACAGCAAAAGCTAACTGATATATTTGGTATCTGAAACATAGGTTACTTTTCCCTTTTTCAATTGATAGCCACCTTTCAGATTTACGATGTTAATTAAAATGTTGGTTCCCCCAAATAAATACAAAATAAATTGAAGTATTTTTGAAGGGAAGACCAGCTACCAGGAATTTCAACTGGCATTTTAATATGTTCCATGACTGCAGATGAAACTTTTTCTTCACAAATTATCCTTTTACTTTATATCAGAGAAGAGTTGTTTAGTATACATTAAAGTATTTGTGTTTTTTGAGAATACCAAGGAATTGTGTTTTCTGCAAAACATATGGTCCCTTTCTCCTACTTCAACACCTACATAAGTGTTTTGGGGGGAATACAAAAAAGAATTATTGACATATTACATGAATCAAATGCCATTAATCCTGACCTTCTGACCATACTCAGAGCCAGGAGACTTGGAAAGTCTACATTCTCATTCAAGTTGTACCTGATCTGGGAAGTCCAATTGAGCTAAGAATCTCAAAGATGAAATAGCTAGTTCAAACTTGCTTTAGTTACAACTGAGGTATTAATTATAACTAATTCATTATCCTGTTGACAATGAAATCTTAGTGCAGATCTGCCAATAGGGTTGAACTATTTCAGAAAAAAATAGGATGTTTTCTCCATAAACTGCCAGGTAACTACCTTTTAGGGAAATGAAATAAGACAGGACAACTCTTTTAAACTCCAACTGTGGAAATTCTGCATGGTGTCCTGTCAACAAGGAAGGAGAATACCTGATTTGGGGGATCAACCTTTCTTGCTTCCGAGTGGAGCTCTCAAAATTAATCTTTATAAATACATATAGATTCAGAAATGAAAAGTATTCTACAGATATGATGATTAGTTTGAAAGAAAAATGTTATCTGTGCTCTTTAGAAATGGGATCAAAAGGAGCTTTTATTTCTAGTTGTATGAAGAACAGAAAGATCTACATATAATAAGAAAAGAAGCATGTGGTACTTGCTATAAATACACTTATTTATTGTCCTTCTGTTATTTGTCTTGTGGGTCAGCTTTATGCCACGAGAATGCTGACAACCTACACCCAGGAAAATAACGGGAAGGGTTAATGTCAGCCCATATAATTTCCTTTATTAAATTGGTACCAAGCTTTCCATTTAAAAGCACATGCTCCCACAACAGCAGAGTTCAGTTGTGCACCTTGAGATCAGTCTATTATACACCAACTACAGTGAAACTAAAGGAATGGCTATCCTCTAGATAGAAAAAAGTCAATTAACTGAGCAGCCCGCAATTCTTAGCCATCACTAATCTTTCCATGTAGCCTCAGCAGGATTCTTTTAGAAATGCAAGTTCTTGCCAGCCATTATTCCAACCTCCCCAGCAAATCACATCCAGTAGTGCAGTGAAAAAAATCAAGAAGGTAAAGATTTCTCTGTCCTCCAATGGTTATTGATATTTTTTTTTTCTGGAAGACAAAAGGGTAATCCTTTAGAAACAAACAGATCGTTTTCTAATAAATAGCTATTACTATGAAACAGATGTTTTCTGCAATGTACACTGACTTTCAAAATCAGCTACTTTAGCAGAGTGTGTGTGTGTGTGTGTGTGTGTGTTTGTATACATGTGGATAGACATAGATAGATAGAGAATGAAAGAAAGAGGTTTTTTTTTTTCCTAAAGAGATCTAAGTAAATATTCTGGAAAATGTCAGTGGCAAATAGAGGCAATTAAACCTTAAATACGATTTCATTCAATTAATTTTGCATACTAAAAAGCATGTTGCTTTTCAGAATAGACATAGGAAGTTATTATGATAGTGTAATCTTTTGCTAGCTCCCTCAAAATCATGAGTAGCCTCATTCTTGCAAAAGAGCAAAAGCAGAAATGTCAACCCAAAGAAGAGTTGAAGGAGATTTAAATAGTTGCACATTAAATAATGATAAAAATTTTCACTGGTAATCCTGTTAAGCTGAAGATACTCAGTTTACGGGGAGTGTAATTATTTAACAGTAGAAAACCCTTGACATTCATTCAATAAATGTTAGTGAATGACTGCTATTCACCAAGCACTTTTCTAGGCATTGAGCATATTGTAGGGATATAATTAAGCTCCTGCCCTCATAGAGATTATATTCTAGAATAAACAGGCAATAAACAAGTAAATAAAATAAATTCCAATATTGATGAAGAAAATAAAGCAGGGTAATGCGACAGTGACTAAAGCAGGCTAGGGATGAGGGTTGGCTACTTTATATCACACGTTAAGACGAAGCTGTGTTGAGAAGGTAACATTTGTTTCGAGGCCTGAATGATGAGGAATGAGCAGCCATTTAAAACATCTGGAGTTTAATTAGGACCCATTTGTTTATTTTTGTTTTTATTTCCATTACTCTGGGAGATGGAGCAAAAAAGCTATTGCTGCGATTTATATCAGAGAATGTTCTGCCTATGTTTTCCTCTAAGAGTTTTATAGTATCTGGTCTTACATTTAGGTCTTTAATCCATTTTGAGTTTATTTTTGTGTGTGGTGTTAAAGAGTGTTCTAATTTCATTTTTTTTTTACATGTGGCTGTCTAGTTTTCCCTATGGAGAACAGTATGAAGGTTCCTTAAAATCTAAAAGTAGAGCTACCATATGATCCAGCAATCCCACTCCTAGGCATATATCCAGAGAAAAACTTGGTTCAAAAGTATACATGCACCCCAATGTTCATTGCAGTGCTGTTTACAACAGCCAAGACATGGAAGCACCTAAATGTCCATTGACAGATGAATGGATAAAGAAGATGTGGTACATATACCGCTATGGAATATTACTCAGCCATTATAAAGAATGAAATAATGCCATTTGTAACAACATGGGTGGACCTGGAGGTTATCATACTAAGTGAAGTAAGTCAGATAGAGAAAGACAAATATCATATGATATCACTTATATGTGGAATCTTAAAAAAATGATACAAATGAACTTATTTACACAAAAGAAACAGACTCACAGACTTAGAGAACAAACTTATGGTTACCAGGGGGGAAGGGTGTGGTGGGGGAGGGACAGATTGGGAGTTTGGGATTGACATGTAAACAGTGCTATGTTTAAAATAGATAACCAACAAGGACCTACTATCTAGCACAGGGAACTCTGCTCAATATTCTGTAATAACCTAAATGGGAAAAGAATTTGAAAAAGAATAGATACATGTATAAGTGAATCACTTTGTTGTACATCTGAAACTAACACAACATTGTTAATCAACTATACTCCAATATAAAATAAAAATTAAAAAAAATCTGGAGCTTAGAGTTCTAGGCAGAAAGAATAACAAATGCCAACGCCCAATGTTTGGAATAAACTTATTATGGCCAAAGATCAGAATGGCCAGTGTAACTGGGGTTTGGTGAGCTGGGACTGGTTCATGTTGGGCCATGAATATCATGATAAGGAATTGGGATTTTATTTTAAGTACATTGGAAAGTCATGAAAAGGTATTCAGCTGGGGAGAAACACAGTATGACTTACATTTTAAAAAGATCGATCTGATAGTTATTGTAGAAGCAGGAATGAAAGGAGTGAGTCCAGTTGAGAGGTTGTTGCAATAGAACAGAGGAGGGATGTTAGTAGCTTGTTCTAGGGTGGTATTTGTAAAGGCTGTGTGTCCTGGAAATAAAAGTGGATGGACTGCGGCTATATTGTGGGAGTAGAGTCAGCAGGACTAGGGGACAGATTTGATGTGGGTGACAAGGATGACTTTTGGATTTTTGGTTTATACCATTCAATAAGAGCGGAGACACTAAAAGTGGATCAAATTTGGGGCTGTAGAGTTTGGAGATTATAAATATTCTGTTGAACTTGTTGAATTTGAGATATCTTTGAGCCATCAAAATGGAGAAGTTGAGTAGAAAATTGGACATGTGGACCTGGGACTCATAGGACAAGTCTGGGCAAGAGGACCTAGTAAGATCACCCTTATCCCTTGGCCCCAACACCATTATCCACAGCAGGATTCAAGATAGGCCTAAAGAGCATTTGCTTCTGGTAAATTCCTTCTCTGGGCCTGACACAATTCTCTGTAGTCTATAAAATAGGTCCACAGGGCTCAGGGTGCTCCAGGTAAGACAATATCTACAACATAACTTGACATTGTCAGGGCCATTGATAACAACTATTGGTCTCAATAGAACTGATGCCCTACCTTCTTCTAAGGGACCACTTTAGGACTAAATAATCCCTTTCTTCTCATATCCCATCAACCTCCCTCCCATCCCTGTTTTCATCAGCTACTGCCAGAAATCCGAATCTCTCAGGTCATCTATCATTGTCCAGACTTTCTCCCCATCCAGATCTGTATGCAGTAAGTCTGATCTCATCACCTACACTTTCCTGATCTGCAGTTCCACATCCTCTGAGACTCGTGGTTTGTTATCAGCAAAATCCTCCATATCCTTTACTTCATCTCTTAATGTTCCCTTCACCTTCTGCTTGTTCTAATCATAATCGGACTCTTTCCTCAGGACAATGCCTCCTTTGCAGCCCTTTTAAATGCTACTTATAGGACCTTGAGGCAGGGTAGGTGTCCCAGTTGCTTCCCAATTATTTTACCTCCATTCTTTATCAAAACCCACAGGCCTTTGAATTGCATCACTCCAGACCTAACAATACTTGGCTTATTCTATTAGAAGTTGTCATATATTGCACTCCTGGTCACTCAGCCTAATTCACGATGAAGGATATCCTTAATCCTAACTTCAAACATCACAAGGTCTCATCACAGCCTTCTATGTTTCCAAATCACTAATCTAGTACCCTTGTTCCATCTATTCTTAAATTTTATCAGGATTCCTACCCATTGGGCAAGTGGGCCCTCATTGATGCTTAGCAAACATGCTTCATCTTGCTTGTAAAGTTGCTGTGCTACTTTTTTTTTTTTTTTTTTTTGCGGTACGCGGGCCTCTCACTGTTGTGGCCTCTCCCATTGCAGAGCACAGGCGCCGGATGCACAGGCTCAGCGGCCATGGCTCACGGGCCCAGCCGCTCCGCGGCATGTGGGATCTTCCCGGACCGGGGCATGAACCCATGTCCCCTGCATCGGCAGGTGGACTCTCAACCACTGCGCCACCAGGGAAGGCCCTGTGCTACTTTTTAAGATGCCTATTTCCTGGGCTTCCCTGGTGGCGCAGTGGTTGAGAATCCACCTGCCAATGTAGGGGACACGGGTTCGAGCCCTGGTCCGGGAAGATCCCACATGCCGCGGAGCAACTAAGCCCGTGCGCTACAACTACTGAGCCTGCGCTCGAGAGCCCACGAGCCACAACTACTGAAGCCCGCACGCCTAGAGCCTGTGCTCCGCAACAAGAGAAGCCACTGCAGTGAGAAGCCCACGCGCTGCAACGAAAAGAAGCCCCCGCTCGCTGCAACTCGAGAAAGCCCATGTGCAGCAACAAAGACCCAACATGGCCAAAAATAAATAAAATAAATTAACCCCCCCCAAAAATGAATAAAAGGAAAAATATTTTTTTAAATGCCTATTTTCTACCTTTTTTTTGTCTTCTCCAACCCTCTAACATATCTACATTCTTCTTTATTCTCATCAAATCTATTGCCTATTCTATCATAACTGATATTCTCTCTCTGCTACCAGTAAAACTGAATGAGTAATGATAACCCCTATACTTATACACTGAATCCCCTTTCTCTGTACCACCTGAGGTCTTTGCTCTGGAAATTATCCTCTCTCTACGGGACCATTCTCATCATCATATAAACTTGCTATAAAATATTTAACCTTAGATATAATATTTCCAATATTAAATAAGATACCCACCATTATCTCATGTCTCCTTCCAGCTATGATCTCATTTTTCCCTTCCATTTGAGAGCAAAATTCTGCAGACTGTTGTCTATACTTACTGTCTCAGATTCTTCATTTCCTTTTCTTTCTTTAACCCACGCTAACCAAAATTTTCCCTCTCCATTGCATGGAAACAACTTTTGTCATGGTGAATGGAACTCCATATCACCAAATCAAGTGCTGAGTTATCTGTCTTCATTTTACAAAAGTATTGGACAACATTTAACAGAGATGACCATTTCTCTTTTCTGAAAATACCTTCTTCATTTGGTGTTTGAGCTACATTCCCCTGGCTTTCCTCCTGCATCATTGGCCGCTTCTTAATATCCCTTGCTGGCTTATCCTCCGCTTCTTATCTCTCTATATTACAGTCCCCCAGGGCTCATCCCTCAGACCTTTTCTCTCCTTTATCTTCAGCATTTCCTTAAGTGAATTCATCCAGTGTTGTGGCTTTGAACATCCTTTATATGCTGATAATTTCCAAATTGGTCTTCAGTCCAGACTGCCTGTTTGAGCAACAAACTTACAAATGAGTTCAACTACCTACATAACATCTCCACTTTGAGGTCTAAAGGCCTATCAGTCTTAATACAGCAGAAACCAAATTTTTGGCATTTGCTCCCAAACCTGCTCTTCTTGCAGTCTTCCTCATTTCAGTTAATGACATTTTTCCATTTACTCAAAACTTATGGGTTAATCCTTGTCTCTTTCCCGTCCTCATTATGCACCATCAATCCTAAGCAGTTATTATCAGCTCTACCTTCAAAATACATCCTGATTCTGACTAACCCCCCCCCCCCCCGACCACCTTGGGCCAAGCCACTATCCTTCATTACTTAGCTTCCTAACTGGACTTCCTCTTTCTCCCTTCATGTTGTCCTCTACAGAGCAGCCATAGTGATTTTTTTAAACTATAAATCAGATCACATCACCCCCTTGTTCAAAATTCTCTAAAGGTTTCCCATCACACTTAGAAAACAATCAGAATCCCTACCTATGACTGAAGAAGTCTCTGCCCATCTTTCTGTCCTCATCTCTTTACATTCTCCTCTTCGCTCACTCTACTCCAGTCTTCCTGTAATCACTTGAACATGGACAATCCAAATTCATTCCTGCCTCAGGGTCTTTCTATTTGCTGTAACTTCTGCCTGGAATGATATTCCTCCATCTATTCTTCTTCTTGCTCCTCTAAAATCAGGTCTGTGCTCAAATGCCACATCTGCAGATAGACCTTCTCCCATCATCCTATTTAAAATAGCCATCACCACCCTTCCTACCCTCGTTCATATTATTCTCTCTCTCCTTACCTTGCTTGAAAGTCTTCATAAAACTTTCATTAGCTGGAATTATTTTGTTTCTTGTTTTTGTCTGTTTCTTCCCTAGAATGTGATCCCCATCAGAGCAGAGAGTTTATCTTTTGTTCACTTCTGCATTCTAAGAGTCTCAACAGTATCTGGCATAGTAAGCACTCATGAAACATTTGATTTATGAATATATAAATTAATAAAATAATCAATAAATGAGTAAATGAATGCAGTCAGAAAAGTCCACAGGAGGAATACATTGTTTGGAGAAAGATAATAATTTCCATTTTGGACTAGTTGAATTTGAGATGCTGGCAAAGTATCCAAGTAAAGGTGTTTAGAAGACAATTGAAAAGTCAGTTCTGAAATTTGGGAGAATTTTCAGAGTGAAAAATAAAGAATTGAAAAGGCATTTTTATTAGTTTCCTATTGCTGCTGTAACAAGTCACCACAAACTTAGTGGTTCGAAACAACACAGATTTATCATTTTTGAGTTTGGGACGTCAAAATCCTAAAATCTACGTGTAGGCCGGGCTCTATTCCCTCTGGAGGCTCCAGGAGAGAATCCATTTCCATTTCCACGCCTTTTCTATAAGCAGAGGGCACTCACTTTCCTCGGCTGTGGCTCCTATTTCTCTCTTTCTCTCTCTCTCTCTTTCTCTCTCTCACTCTCTCTCTCTCTCTCTCTCTCGTTCTAGCTCTCTCTCTCTTTCTCACTCTCTCTGATTTCTGCTTCTATAGTCACATCTCCTGCTCTGACTCTGACTCTCCTGCTTCCTTTTTATAAGTACATTTATGATTATGTTGGACCCTATCTGGGTAATTCAGGAATAATCTCTCCATTTAAAGATCCTTAATGTAATCACATCTGCACATTCCCCCTTTCGTGTAATGTAACGTATTTGCAGGTTCTGAGGATTAGGATGTGGATATCTTTGGGGGGGGCCAATATTCTGTCTACCACAGAAGTTAGTAAAACAAGCTCATGACTTATTTATGAGACTGAAGAGCTTGATATGGACTCGTCTCCAGATAGGTGAGCAAAACTGCAAAATACTGGAATGCTATGGAAGCAAAGGGAATAGAGATTTTCAGGAAGGAAAGATTGGTCCATATGATCAAATGCTGGAGAAGCATTACGAAAGATAAGAAGAGACATACAGATAGTCAAAAAGCACATGAAAAGATGCCCAACACTGCTAATTACTAGAGAAATGCAAATCAAAACTACAATGAGTAGCTGACCTCACACCACTCATCAAAAAGTCTACAAATAATAAATGCTGGAGAGATTGTGGAGAAAAGGGAACCCTCTTGCACTGTTGGTGGGAATGTAAATTGATACAGCCACTATGGAGAACAGTATGGAGGTTCCTTAAAAAACTAAAAATAGAACTACCCTACGACCCAGCAATCCCACTCCTGGGCATATATCCAGAGAAAGCTCTAATTCAAAAAGATACATGCACCCCAATGTTCACTGCACAACTGTTTACAATAGTCAAGGCATGGAAACAACCTAAATGTCCATTGACATATGAATGGATAAAGAAGATACAGTGTGTGTATATATATATATATATATATATATATATATATATATATATACACACAATGGAATATTACTCAGCCATAAAAAAGAATGAAATAATGCCATTTGCAGCAAAGTGGATGAACCTAGAGATTATCATACTCAGTGAAGTAAGTCAGACAGAGAAAGCCAAATATCATATGATATCACTTATATGTGGAATCTAAAATATGACACAGATGAACCTATCTACAAAACAGAAACAGACTCACAGACTTAGAAAACAAACTTATGGTTACCAAAGGGGAAAGGTGAGGGGAGGATAAATTAGGATTTGGGGATTAACATATACACGCTACTATATATAAAATAAATAATCAATAAGGACCTGTGTATAGCACAGGGAACTCTATTCAATATTCTGTAATAACCTAAATGGGAAAAGAATTTGAAAAAGAGTAGATTTATGTATAGGTATAACAAAATCACTTTGCTGTACACCTGAAACTAACTCAACATTGTAAATCAACTATACTCCAATATAAAATAAAAAGTTAAAAAAAAAAGGTAAGAAGAAAAAGAAGTTCCAGTATTTGGTAATCAGAGCATCATGGGTGGCTTTCTAGAAAACAATTTCTGTCAAGTTTTGGTGTGGGAAGCCAGATTTTAAGTAACTGATAAATGAGTGAGAAGTGAAAAGAAAAATAGACATTAAACTTCTTCCCATTATGAAAAATGACTCGGTGACAGCTGTGATGGTTAGCAGAATTTCTGGAATAAAAAACAATGTCACCATTCTACGAATCTCTAATTTTCTAAAAAAAACTGAGAGTCAACACTTCAGCCCTTCTTTCTGTAAGAAGTAACAGGCAGGAACATAACTGACTCAGTGTCATGGAGAGAGGGAGACACGAGCAAGAACACTGGTTGACGCCAGCTTACAAGGTCACGGCCGTGGACGGGTGTCCTGTTGGCCTATTAGCTGTAAACTCCACTCCTGATTCAATGTAATGGATTTTAAAGCTGATGCCTTGCCACATTGATTTATAAGATGAACTGCTGCTGAAGCTGACTTGAGCCTTTGAGTTCTGAGTATAAACGGACAAAGGGCATCAGCCCTCTCCTCCATCCTGATTCTGCTGCTTACTCGCAACCCTACCCTCTTCTCTCCCATTCTACACCCTCTGATTGCTGAGGGAGGGCCTAGGATGGTAGGATGCAAAAAGTAATGGGGCCAAGGAAGCCTGGAGGCAGAGATCTTTCTGTGATGAAAATGCCAATGAGTAAGTGCACCAAACACAATCTCTTTTCTTTTCTCTTTTAAAATTTATTTTATTAAAGTATAGTTGATTTAAAATGTGTGTTATGGGAATTCCCTGGTGGTCCAGTGGTTAGGACTCCGAGCTTCCACTGCAGGGGGCACGGGTTGATCCCTGGTCCAGGAACAAAGATCCCGCAAGCTGCGTGGTGTGGCCAAAAACAATTAAAAAAACCAAAAAAACTAAAATGTGTTCATTTCTACTGTCCAACAAAGTGATTCAATTATGCATATATATATACATTCTTTTTCATATTCTCACAATCTCTTTCCCACATATTTAAAGCAATAAGTTTTCACTTAACCTGATATTAATGAAATTATACTTGCTAAGCCAGCCGTTCAGACAGGCTTTTATCTGACCAGCTGTATCATCTTGAGAGAGTCACTTAACTTCTCAGAGCTTCATCTGCCTCATCTGTGAAACTAAGATAATAATAGTAGTTCATTTAATCTTCATGAATGCACCAACATGGAAAAAGCAAAGGGATAATAATAATAATAACAGTTACTCAAATAACAGCTGCCGCTGAGAGCAATAAACATCAGGCACTGTTAGAAGCACTTTATACATATTACCTCATTTATTCTGACAACAGCCTTATGAAGTGTGTATTATTTTAATCCTCATTTTACAGATAAGGGCTCTGAGGCATAGAGAAGTAAATACACAGCTAGCAAGCAGAAGAGCCAAATTCATGATATGAGCACAATTAATGATGAGTAATGATGATGATAATGATGTTGATTTTAAAATTCAAATGCCCAGGTCTTAGGTAGTATGTGAACATCTATATGAAAAAGTAATTGTCTTGAATCTCTTTAGTAAACAATTTAATTTCAATGATATTTTTAAAATTTATAGACACCCTACCTGTTACCAACAAAAAGGTGCATCGTTGATATTTTCCATATTCCTTTTGTAGACTGTATTCTTCTCTTTTGGCATTTGCACCAAATTGGTCAAAGAACTGTTTGTGCTCATTTTCAAACAAAGCACTCCATAGCCTGAAAAATGGCATTTGTCATGGGAAGGAATTTTCCAATATATAGAACCCTGTACTCGATCCATTTTTACCATGACTTTCTCTTGTTTATAAAGTGATATAAAATCATGTACTTCCTCTAAACAAAATGAATGGATCTCGGTGAAGCTACCTGATTTCTACACAGGTCACATGAAGAATCATCATCAAGAGGGCCTTGGAAGGCAGACAAAGAAGGCCAAACAGGAAGTAAATTGACATTTCCATTTCTCACCAAGTAGGTCTATTAATGTCACGATTGGCTGAACTGAACCAGTCTGTCTAGAGAGTGAGTACACTGGCCTGATGTCTTTACCAAACAGAAGTTGACCCTACTTCCCCCATGAAACTATTAGTTCATACCTGGAGTGAGAGGCTGTGATTTCTTTCCTTGTCCTGGACCAACAAGTCATAATTATCCCCTCACTTGCCTTATCATCTTACTGCTTACATTCATAAGAATATAAACACTTAATTTACAAAGTTAAATATTTGTTGTTTTTCCCAGTAGTTTGTCTATATAGCTCTTTCGTAAGTCAGCAACGTCTCACTCAGGTGGTTTGTTCACATGTTACAGAGCACTTAATGCTTAATTCTGTCCTCAATACACAATGTGGGCTGAAGAAAATCCTACAAACCAAGTTGGGATGCAGGGTTCAGGAAGCAGGCAAGATAGTCCCTTCAGTATAAAACACACCAGAAACTCATTTTCTAGTTTTAGGGATGAAACACACACACTGGGTTTACAACGATGATAATCATGACCGTAAGGAGAATTATACAAATAAAATAATTATCTGTAGTACAATCATTTAGCATAAAATAAATTACCTCAGAGTGAATCTGTAAGGACTGAGTGGAAAAGGATGAGGGAGGATACAAATTAAGACGGGTTAAGAAAAGAATATGAACTGGATTCAAAGGGAGTGAGAAAATAATTCTGTGGGCAGGAAGATGAGAGATTTCTGGCAAGTACAGTGGGAGGTGGGGTGGAATGGGAGACTCTAGGCAACAGGCAATGCTGTGCTGTGTGAAAGGAGGGGGCTAGGCCAGAAGGAGGCTTTATTTGTGGTTGACCCAACTATGTGTTCA